TTTAGTATAATAAAGTGCATTTTTGAGGTAGCTGGCACTTGTAGTTAATTTTTGGGATTTTTTTTTTAATGATGTCAGTCATTTTCTTCCATTCAAAGTATGTTCGACAACTTTTTTATATGGAGAAAATGAGCAACATAATCAACATAAACACAGCATACTCAAAAAATTTTTAAGAAATCTTCCGAAGCTTTAATGCTTCCACATGTTTCGACAGCTCGCCAATAAACCACAGAAGTTCTAGACTGATGAAATTATGTAGCTACCCGAAAAATTGCAAAAAGTCATAGAAAATAATGGCCAATGTGTACTCGGTTAAAATTGATTTTCAATCAAGAGATTTTTTTCAAAAATGTACCCAAAATTCCGCAGAGACTTTTGATATGACCCAGTCGTGAAAATTTTCTAAAACCAATGCCGAATTTCCACTTTCCAGGGTTTTTATTGTCCTTAATTATTTCTACTTTAAGGTGGCCTTGCAATGCCAGCTTTTGGAATGCAGTTTAAGTTGCATTCGAACTTCGAATTCGTATATATGGATAATTATAATAATTGCAAACACAAAAAAACCACTCCCAACTTTAAACGGACATCGTAAACCATTGTTTGGTTTTTGATAAGAAAAAAGAACTTATGCTTCCTTCTGCCAGTTTAACAACACTCCACCAGTGAAATTGCAATGCCATTTAACAGGAAAACAATAATGAGAAACATTTAAACTTAGGTATTTAATTGCACAAACTGAATTAATTTAGGCGAATTCATATAAACATTTATTAGTAAATACATAGTATGTGTAACCAAAAATTTGAAAAAAAAAAATATAAAACAAAAATTTCAAACTACAAACGTAGATTACAAAAAAAAACATTAAATTAATGATAAAAACGTTGTTGAACTTAATAATACAAAATTTGTTGTAAATACTAAGAAAACTTATAGAATACTACTAACTAAGCCACATGCGAAACAAGGAAATCATTTGATATTAAGCAAAAATTATAAGAAAAAAATATATAGCTATAATTAATTAATTTTGTACACAAAAGGAGTTCACCCATGCATTAATAGTAAAATTTTACACATAAGTCAGTACCTAAAGAAAATTAATAAAACTATTCTTTTTTTAAATTGTAAAAACTAATAGCAAAAATAATTTAAATGACCAAGGTAAAATTATATAAAATAAGATTATGTGAATAGAAGAAAATTCCTTAAAAATGTTAACACATACCAACACTTAATTCTATAATAAATGAAAAGCAACAAAAACAAAACTAACTAAACAAGAAAGTAGTAAAAAATTATGTGTAGCAAAACAATTTAATAAGAAAATGAAAAAAATATAAAATATTAAATTAAAAAAGCATAAACAAGTACTTAAGTTTATACTTAGCGCATTTAAGTTTTAAATAAGATTTATACTAAGTTTACACCAGTTACAATTAAAATGTTTCAACAAAAATTCAAATAACACAAAAAAGTAACTACATAAATTTAACTGAA